GTCTTGTAATCCTTATTCTTTACTTCAACTTGTGGTTAATTGTGATTATGTCATGATGTTATGTGGGAGTATGCCTTATTTAGGATTGATAGGGTGGTATAATGTTGAATTTAAATGTCTTGACTATGGTTGTGAGGTTGATTAAGATGAAAATGTTATAAGGATGGTGATGCTTACTAATGTGCTTTATTATGAAATAGATATGAAATGTGTTAACCTCACTTGTATGAACTGTAATGAAAGGATTGTACTCACATAATTCTTATTGAGCTATGATGATGATGATTATACAAGGGCTAGACCCTATGACCTAAACTAAGTTATGATTGTTAATAAAGACTTAAAGAAAATTCAAAAAGGGACCTAGCTTAGCACTGAGTGATCTTGTATGTGAGGGGGTGACTCTTTCCCAAATAGGGAAGGTAGTGTTCACTATGGTCATCACGGGTGGATAGCCTCAAGAACCAATAGGGTTTAGAATGATGTTTCCAAGACGACCCCAAGTTCCTTAAACTATGTTGCCACCATAGGAATACTAGCTAGTGGATCCACCTAGATGCTATCTTTATGTTAGGTTTTACCTTGGCCTGTAGACCACCTTCAATCGTGTAAGGTTTTACAACACCGGATTTCACACTTAGATCTTGTGGTCTCTGTCAGTTAAGGAAAGTTTTCCCTAAACTAAAATGAATCAATGGAGTATAAACTAACTAGGGTGACTTGAGAGGTTTGACTTAGCTTAGGTAGAGGTATGGGACTCTGTTTATGCCTTGCACTAGTTGGCCTTGATTGAAGCTTTAGGAAGTCGTTATTATGTATGTATATAATAATGATGTATATGATGATAATAGTTGATGATACAACATAAATGGTATTATATGATGATGATTATCCTTATGAACATGTATTTGGATTATATTATTAAAGTATGATGTTATGTATCCATAAAGATTATATTATGTGATGTTGGACATTGGTTATGGTTTCTTTTTGGGGCTACTTGATTGAGTAAGGTTATGGGGCTTTACTTGGTCATTGCACTGGTTCACTTGATGAGGATTCATGGGTACTTGTCTTGCTTATTATGATATGGTTAACTCTTGTTCATGCTTGTGATGTTATTCCTTTATGATAGGGTTGTAGTAGATTATCAGCTCAAGTATGATGTGCATATTACTTTATCTACTTTTAATAAGTATGCCTTGTTGTTTTGTATGACTTGCTTGACTATGCATAAGTCTTTTAAAGAGGTAAAATAGCATGGTTTAACTAAATGTCCCTTTTTAGCATGTTATGATGTTATATGTGCTTATGGTCTCATACTTAGTACAAGTGGTGTACTAAAGCCATTTTCTTCTGTTTTTCCAAATATTTTAGGTTCCGTTCATTGAAGGCTCATTCGAGACGACTTGAAAAAGACTTGGATATTCTCTACTATACAAGTGGGTAGGTCCTGACTTTCCGCGATGCCAATATCTACCTTATGGAGTTGCTTTGTTTCCAAAACTCTAATATTCATTCTATTTTCATTTGAGTACGATTTGTATAAGCCTATATGTGGCTTATTTACATTGATGTAGTCCTATGCCCAAATTTTTATGATCATTTAGATGCTATGAGATCAGACAATCTTTAATAAGTATATTCTATCTTATATATATGTGTGCAATAAAAGTAGAAGGATATGTAACCTTCCTATATGAACGGTCTATGTATACTCGATATGAATAGATTATGTATATGTAGAGGTCTATGTAAACCTCCAAGTAGATGTAAAGAAAGTTTTAATGTTTATGTATTTTTGACATGTGAATGTAATGATGTAAGACTAAGAAGTTAGTCTTAGTCCCCAAAGAGGATGACAACACCGGTTACGTCTAGGGGGTAAACCCGGATGTGACAAACTTGGTTTAGAGAATGAGTTTGAATATCTTTGAGTCTATGTATCTCTCTCAACCACGTCTAAATAGGTTTGTATTTATAATTGTTCAGCGCGCCATACTTATTAATAGGAATCTATGTGATGCTTAGGAAACTCTTACTTTCTTGGAAATCTACCATCGTGCCACTAGAGTATACCTATTGTGGTTTTTGCATCTAATCCTTTCATTGTGATTATAGGCAATGAATACTCGATGGAATGTGGAACGGAGACTTGAGAAGACATTGCCAATGTGGGAGCCCTTCCCCGTGGTGATCAAGTTCCTCCTCTTCGAGAAGCTGTGGATGATGACCACGCCCCGATGAATCCTCCTGCTTTGACGGATGAGAATATAAGGGACGCTCTTTTCCAAATAGCCCAACCCATTACTACCCAAGCACAATCCGCCACCGCTCAAGCCCAAGCCATGACAACCCAAGCTAATTAGGAGGTTGTACACCATGTTCATCAACAAATTGCTACTATGGCTTCCCGTCTAAGGGACTTCACTAGGATGAGTCCCCTACATTCTATGGGTACAAGGTTGATGAAGACCCCCAAGAGTTCATTGATGAAGTCTACAAGATACTCTTTGCTATGGGGTTTTCTACTAGTGAGAAGTCCGAGTTATCCACATACCAACTCAAAGATATGGCTCAAACCTGGTATGTTCGATGGAGGGATAATAGACCTCTTAGGGGTGGATCAGTTACTTGGGAGATCTTTAATAAGGCATTTCTTGATCAGTTCTTTCCTAGGGAGATGAGGGAGGCCAAATTGGTGGAGTTCATCAACCTTCTTCAAGGAGGTATGAGTTTGCTTGAATACTCCTTGAAATTACTCCTTTTTTGGTTTCCGATCCTAAAGATGAAATGAACCGATTTGCGACAAGGGTGTCATATGATTTGCAAGAGGAATGTCATTCGGCTATGCTACATAAAAACATGAACATTTCCCGTCTTATGGTGCATGTTGGAGAGTAGAGGAGGCAAGGGCTAGGAGAAAGAATAGAGATGCTAAGAGGCCAAGATCTTTTGATGGTAGTGCTACAAAGAATAGGATTGAAATCCAAGACAAGCCAAGATTCAAGAAAATGTTTTCTAATCATGTTCCATCCAAGTTCCCTAATGCTCGTGGTGATAAGGTTGCAAACCCTAAGTCTCAAAATGGAAGAGGTACTACTTCCCCAAGCAAGAAGCCAACTTGTCTGAGTGTAGAAAGAAGCACTATGGTGCTTGCCTCATTGGGATGGATAAGTTTTTTATTTGTGGTAAGATAAGGTTCGGGATTGCCCTAAAGTGAAGGGCCACAAGAAAAGGGTGGTCAAACTCAATCAAGTGGTACTAGTGATGCTCTTATGAAGAACTGCTTCTATGCTCTTTGCTCTAGGGGTGAGCAAGAGACTTCTCCAGAATGGTGACCGGTATGTTGAAAGTCTTTTCTATTGATGTATATGCTTTACCTGATCTCGGTGCTACTTTGTCATTTGTTACACCTCTTGAGGTTAAAAAGTTTGACATTTTACCTGATATCTTGCATGAACATTTTATAGTGTATACATCGGTGGGTGAGTCGGTTGTTGCAAAAATGGTGTATAGAAATTGTCCTATAACATTGCCCAATAGAGTTTCTTATGCTGAACGTGTAGAACTTGATATGGTTGATTTTGATATTATATTGGGTATGGATTGCATGCTTGTTTTGCCTCTATTTATTGTAGGACAAGGTTGGTGAGGTTTAGCTTCCCAAATGAACCCATTGTTGAGTGGGAGGAGGGAAATTTGAAACCTAGAGTCATATCATCTCTTGTCTAAAAGAATACAAAATGATCTCTAAAGGTTGTCGATATCAGATAGTAAGAGTCTAAGATTTAGACTCCAAAATTCCTCCCATAGAGTCGATCCCCGTAGTGAGTGAATTCCCAAAGGTCTTTCCTAATGATCTTCCTGGTATTCCTCTCGAACGAGAAAATGATTTCGGTATCAATTTGCTACCGGAAATGAATCTCATTTCAATTCCTCCTTATTGGATGGCTCCAGCCAAATTGAAGGATTTGAAAGCTCAACTCAAAGATTTACTAGACAAGGGCTTCATAAAGCCTAGTATTTCTCCATGGGGTGCTCTTGTATTGTTTGTAAAGAAGAAGGAGGGGTCCTTGAGAATGTGTATTGATTATCGCCAACTCGACAAGTTCAATATTAAGAATAAGTATCCTCTCCCTCGAATTGATGAATTTTTTTATCAACTCCAAGGGGCAAGCTACTTTTCTAAGATTGACTTGAGGTCGGGGTATCATCAACTTAGGGTGAGAGATGAGGATGTACCAAAGACGACATTTCGAACTAGATATGGTAATTATAATTTCTTGGTAATGTCTTTGATCTCACTAATGCTCCGGCGGCGTTTATGGACCTAATGAATAGGGTGTTTCAAAGTTACCTAGATTCATTCGTCATAGTCTTCATTGACGACATCTTGGTATATTCAAAAAATGAGGGTGATCACATGAACCATTTGAGGGTGGTGTTGGAAGTACTTAAAGAACATCAATTGTTTTCCAAGTATAGAAAATGTGAGTTTTGGTTAAGGTCGATGACGTTTCTTGGTCATATCCTCTCCAGTGAGGGGGTTGAGGTTGATCCAAGGAAAACGGAGGCGGTGAAAAATTGGCCTAGACCGTTGACTATGTTTTATCGAAAAAGGAAAAACATTATTTTTTCAAAGAGTTTTAGACCTTTTAGAGTCGCCACTAAATTTTGAAAGAAAAATCAAGAAAACATTTATTTTCAAAAGACATAAACAGTTAAAATCATTTGAAAATATTTAAAAGGGTTTGAGGATTCTTATTGACGTCTTAGGAAGGTTTTGAAAGCACCTAAGACATTCCTCTAACCTACGGTTATCCAAAAACTAATTATTTTGATAAAGATTACAATTGCAATAAAATACTCTTTGAAAAACGAAAGCCGAAAATAAATTAAGATTGTTTTCGAAAGTGAACATTTATCTATGTAGATTATTTGCAAAATTATTGGTTTTAAATCGGTAAAATATTAATGGTGTTTTGTGGGGATTCAAATTTTTCTAACTTTAAAATTAATGATAAATAAAGAAGATAAATAATTAAAAGCAGATAAAGAGACAGGGAGAGAGATTTGGGTCCAAATCCGGGTTCTGTACGCCTTGACCGATTTTTGGACCCGTCTGTCTTGGGTTTTTGACCCATTTTCTTTGCAACTGTCCTAGACTAAACATACAATAATGATAAATAATAATACATAACAGAAAAACAACAAGGGCTTAGGCCCAAAACAACAAAATACAACATAAAAATAAAAGGCTTCTTGGTCCAAGATCTTCAACTATGGCCTGATTCGAATTCCTCGGCTTTGAGAACCTGTACGCTGAAAAAATGGATGGTTGACTCGATGAAAATAAAGGCCCTCTCAAAATGCACGAGGGAAAATAGGAACTCGTGACGAGTCCGTACGAATTTCACTTGTGAAGCAAAGTAATTAGTGGACCATATTTTAATATTAGAAAAAGGTCAAATGAATTAACTCATAAATCACCGCACTTTAGTTTAAAATGCAACAGCAAAAAGAAAATGACAACTTGAATCAATCCCAAAATATTCTTTTGACTCTAGTCCACTAATGCAGCAATCAAGATCAGGTAGATTTGGACTCCAACGAATCATGAACCAAAGCAACCTATTGGAATTCTTCAAACTACAGTGACTAGATAATTGTTTGTCAATTATAAAGAGCCGGCAAAATAAAAATATTCTAAGAAGTTGGGCCACATTGAAGTGGACGAACCCAAAGAACATTATCACAGCATAAATTGACATATGAGCAAAACAATCAGTATTCAAATAAAGTTGGTAAGAACCTGCCAAAATAAAATAGTACACTAGCACAAGATTATGATTTAATTAGCCTACTTCTTTATTTGATTATTTAAATACAAGAGACGGTGAGTAAACGAAACTAAAATAAATTAAGACCACTTAATGTTTTGACCTTATGAGAAAACCGACCAAAACCACATAAATTAATGGCCCACTATCAGCAAAGTTGGCAGAATAGGCAAGTGAAGAATAAAATAATCACAAACTTGGAGCTTTGAACCAAGACAAAGAAAGTGATAACATATTATCAAATAATAAAGAAACATCTTGCCTTGCATGATTTATTTGACGACCAAACTAAACGATAGCAATATAAGAGGTTTTTTATGAGTTCAACGAGCCGACAGATATCATACCTAATTTTAAAAAAGAGAGAGCTCCCTCGGAGCAGGTCAAGCTAAGTTAAATCAAACACAAGCAAAGAAACAAACACGCGAAACTGGCATACTTCGGCACATTAAAATAAATCCGACTGAACGGCTTGAATATCAACACTTAGGAGAGTGGATTAACAAAACAAACTTATCATATTCAAGACTACTAAAAACTATAAGAAGGTAATTAGTACAAACTGTGAAACTCACTTTTGTCTTCAGAACTCAAGACAATATCAGAAGACACATTTTGACAAATATGGAATGAATAACATCAAAAATTAGCAAAATTAATTGAAGGATCGAAATAAGCAATATCCTACCAAGAAAACTCGAGAAGAAACATAAACAGACACAGAGAGGAGACCAAAATAGGACAGAATCGAATCTTCGAAAATGAAGTACATATAAGCTTCAGAAAGACTATGACGATCGAAAACCTAAGATTATAACAAAACAACGCACAACAAACGCATAACCCGATAACATATATACACAATTTAATCACTCATTGTGAGACAACAAGGGAAAGAGAAGTCAAACTACAAAACAGGGAAGACGAGAGTTGTTTACCTCTTTTTGAGCAACGAACAGAGAACAAACGAGCTGAACGAGAATGATCTTTCGCCACCAAGACGTGACCTCCTAGAATTCATCTAAGAAGATGGGTGAGCTGAGAATAAAGGCTGAACCAAAATTGTGCTTTCTAGTAACTATCCTAAAATATTTTTATCATAGTATGGCTGGAAATCTAGAATGTATCTTGTATTCTAGAGGAATAGCTGACTCCAATATTTCTTGTTATTTTTTCACCACTCTCCACTAAACCTTATTTTTCTTAACACAAAATAAAGGGATTATTTATACCAAGGGTTTAGGGTTCGGATTATGGGGGGGAGAAAAAAAAGGTTGAAATTCGAATTTCCCCTTCCAGATAAGGCTGCACCTGGAATCGTACTAATCCTAATGGAATGAGGAGGAGAACCGTCTGATTCAGGAGCAAGGACGGATGAAGCACAAGATAGAGACACTTAGATTATTCACATACGGCGAAGATGAGGGAGAGGGAAGGACGACGTATCACGCGCGGTTGATTTCTTTGATTGTTATCCACTCATGCGTGAATAAGAAGGAGAAACAGTTATGGGCTCCTGATGCTATAGTTAGTGGATTATCTTTGTGATTGTAATTGAATGTTGCATTGCATTTGGTGGGATGATTTTTTTGTGGGAATGGGCCTGGGTCAAATTGAGGGGCAAAAGGGAAGTATCGAGTCAGATTCTGAGAAGGGGCTAGACTGACTGGAAAGTTGTTAAGAGATACATGCCCAAAGCTGCTATGAAATTTTAGCTCATCAGAATGTCAAGCAGGCCTAGTCGAGTCTCTTAAAAAAATAAGATGAATTAGTATAATAAATTTAAGAGCTTATTAATCCTAACAATATAAAATGATTAGTTTGATTCGGAGATAGTGATCCAAAAATATAACTTAGTTTAACTAATACTAATTTAACAAAGTTTACTATAACTTAAATCTTTTGAAATCATTTTTGAAATGCTATGGCATACGAGCATATTGCTCCAAAAAAAATAAGACAGAACTTATTTTGCATAGTTTGCAAATATTACATTTTCTAACATTTCATCAAACTAATTATTTAGATCTTTTGAAATTGAAGAAGCTCGAAAATTGATTGTTATGGGGAAGGTCAAAATTGGGTGTCAACAGACTCCAACAAACATTAGGAGTTTTTTTGGATTAGCGGGCTACTATCGAAGGTTCGTGAAGGGTTTTACATCCATTGAATCTCCTTTGAATACTTTGACCCAAAAGTGTAGGAAATTTGAGTGGTCGGAGGCATGTGAAAGAAGCTTCCAAATATTGAAAGATAAGCTTACTTCCACTCCAGTGTTGACTTAACCGGAGGGTACAAAGGGGTTTGTTGGGTATTGTGATGCATCCCATGTTGGTTTTGGGTGTGTGCTTATGCAACATGGAAAGGTGATAGCCTATGCTTCTAGACAACTTAAAGTGCATGAGAGAAACTATCCAACTCATGACCTTGAGCTAGCGGTCGGGGTGTTTGCCTTGAAAATATGGAGGAATTACTTGTATAGTGTTCATATTGATGTCTTTACCGACCATAAGAGTCTCCAATATGTGTTTACCCAAAAGGAGTTGAATGTCCAACAAAAAAGGTGGTTAGGATTGTTTATAGATTATGATATGAGTGTCTTCTATCACCCCGGCAAGGCCAATGTGGTTGTAGATGCGCTAAGTCATATGCCTATGGTTAGTCTGTCACACATAGATGAAGCCAAGAAAGACCTAGTGAAAGATATTCATAGGTTGGCTAGGTTGGGTGTGAGGTTGGAAGATTATCTGAATGGTGGGTTCATGCTCTATCATAACTTCGAGTCATCTTTAGTGGTCGAGGTTTAGTCCAAAAAACACCTTGATCAACCATTGATGGAGTTGAAAGAACCGATTCTCGTTAAGTCAAACGAGTCATTCTCCTTAGGGAAGATGGTCTGTTGAGGTACCAAGGGAGATTGTGTGTTCCCAATATAGATGGGTTGAGAGACCAGATCGTTGAAAAAGCCCATGGGTCCCGCTACTCCATTCATCCGGGTTCGACAAAAATCTACCATGACCTTAGGGAAATATTTTGGGGGGAAGGTATGAAGAAAGACAAAGCGGAGTTTGATGCTAAGTGTCCAAATTGCCAACAAGTAAAATTCGAACATCAAAAGTCGGGTAGCTTACTACAAGAAATCCAACCTACTTGGAAGTGGGAAGACATCAATATGGATTTTTGTAGTAGGTTTACCTCGAACTCAAAAACAATATGACTCTATATGGGTGGTTGTGGATAGGTTGACTGAATTCGCTCATTTTATTCCCGTCAAGTCTACTTATTAGGAGAAATATTATGTTGAGTTCTTCATAGATGAGGTTGTGTGTCGCCATGGTATTCCTTTATCCATCATATCGGATCAGGGTGCACAATTCACATCTAGTATTTGGAGGTCATTCCAAGAAGGTTTGGTACTAGGATGAAGTTGAGTACTGCTTTCCATCCCCAAACGGATGGTCAAGCGGAACGTACTATTCAAACTCTTGAGAATATGTTTCGGGCTTGTATTATTGATTTCAAGGGAAATTGGAATAAGCATTTGCCTTTGGTGGAGTTTGCTTATAATAATAGATTTCATTAATCCATCTCAATGGCTCCTTATGAAGCCTTGTATGGTAGGAGGTGTAGGTCTCCTATAGGATTGTTTGAAGTGGGTGAGCCTTTGCTTCTCACTCCCGATTTGATTTATAAGACTTTGGAGAAATTTTATATCATAAGTAACCGGTTGCAAACGAACTATAGTCGGCAAAATTCTTATGCCGATCATAGGAGAAGAGATTTGGAGTTTGAAGAAGGTGATAAGGTGTATTTGAAACTTTCACCTATGAAGGGGGTGGTTAGATTTGGAAAGAAAGGGAAGTTGAGTCCTCGTTATGTGGGTTCCTATGAAAATTTGCAAAGGTTTGGTAAGGTTGCCTATGAATTTAAACTCCCTAGTGAATTGGCTTCGGTTCATCCAGTTTTCCATGTTTCTATGTTGAAGAAGTGTATCGGTGATTCCGGGTATATTCTTCCTATTGAGGGTCTTGGTGTCAGGGATAACCTCTCCTATGAGGAGGTCCCGGTTCAAATCCTTGATAGACAAGTAAAGAGGTTGAGGAACTAGAGGTGGTTTTCGGTAGAAGTGTTATGGAAAAACCACCTAGTAGAGGGTGCAACATGGGAGGCCGAGGCCGACATGAAGTCCCGTTACCCTCATCTTTTTGATAATTAAGGTTATTCACTCTTCTTAATAATATAAATATGACTAGAAATTGACTCTTGATTTTTGGTGAAGTCTTGCAAAATGTGCATTTTCGAATTGCATTACAGTGAGTTTACAGTGAATTGGTGCATCAAACTTGAAATGTTTCCATTTTGGTTTTGTTTGAGTTATGTTATGCATTTTGACGTGATGAGTCCTTATGAGAAGTTGTGTAGCAAGTTGATAAGTTGAATTTTGTTAAATTGACTCATGTAAAGTATGTTGATGCTCATGTGTGTTGTGAGGAGGAAATGCCTCATGATGAAATGTTTGAGCCTTATGTGTGGTAATTGATGTTTTGAAATTCGCATTGTTGAAATGATATGATTTATGTTGTTTTGATATTGTTGATTGGTTGGACTGCTAGTCTAGAGTCTATTCCTTCCTTTAAAAGATTTTTAGTGTAATTTGGGGACGAATGTTCCTAAGGGGGGATAATATAATATTTGAAAATTCAAGACGTGTCTTAAAGCCTAACATAGGTGTATTGAGGTCTAGACACTGTTTGAAGGACTATTATAATGAATATATGTCATTTAGAAAGCTTAGAAACCAAAACGTCTAAGAACGTCCATGACGTTTGGAAATTTAGTTCAAGGACGCACTAGCGTGCTTAGCCTATTTGACTTAGGAGTCGGAAATGCATGAAAGTTGATGGAAGGGTGTCTAACATGTGTTTAATATGATTCGTGGTAGAAACTTTCGGGTACTACTCCCCAAGGACCAACTAAGGGCCCTTAAGGAGGACCCTAGCACATAGGAGGCAACACTGTCCGAGCAGTGTGCACCGACAAAACATAAACGACGGGGCGTGTGTTGATCGATGGGGCATCGATGCAAACTGTCTACAAAAACATAGACAATTCATGGAAGATACTTACCTACATAGTCTCTTACCAAAACGATGGATGTGCAGCACGGAAGGGTATAATGACCGTCGACTCACAGATGGACCGTCGATCGGGGTCTCGTCTGTGAGGGTCTAATTTTCCTGCACATTTTAACTGAGTCTCGTTTAAATAATTAAGGGGTTAGGTGGTTAGTTAAGGGTTTAAGGGAGTCTAATTAAGTTAATTAACCTCCCATATAAAAACCCCAACCCCATTAGATTAATTACAACTCACAAAATAATCTCTCTTCCTTCTCTCTTCTTTCTCTATCTATTGGAAGACACCATTGAAGAAAATCTAGGGGGGGGGGTTTGGGGGCTTTTAAATGTATGATTTCACCATAAATTCTTCATCAAACGTTAAGGTATGAGATCTAATTCATCTTTGAGACTTCTTTCCTCAAAGGGCTCCTTCAAAGTATTTTCAAAAGTTGAGTTTTCATGTGGGTTCTTCTCAATCTCGAAAATCATGTCATGAATTGATTTGTTTATGTTTTCTTTAGGATAATATGAATAAATTAACATGGATATAAATTAATTATGATAATTCTTAAAGGTTTGGTCTAAATTGTAGAATATGACCCTCTACCTTTAACCCTAGGTTGTGATCTTGATATGAATTGTATAATGTTCATTGAATTGTCTTGGTTATTTATTGAATTACTACCACATGATGTTATTGTATTGATTAGGAATATATTGAGATGAATCACATGCCTAATATGCTAGTTCTTGAGATGTTGATTTAGGTTATGAAGTATATTGTGAGTTTGACCAAAGTATCTTGTCTTAAGCTATGATCTAGCGTTGAATTGTGTTATAGTGATGTAATTGGCCTTTTTATTCTATTTTATATCATTATGTGATTATGTTAATCCCCTAATTAGGTTGATTTATGGGTTGATGGTAAGACCTTTATGATGAACTATGAAGGAGAATTGGTAAGTCTTGTAACCCCTATTCTTTACTTCAACTTGTGGTTAATTGTGATTATGTCATGATGTTGTGTGGGTGTATGCCTTATTTAGAATTGATAGGGTGGTATAATGTTGAATTTAAATGTCTTGACTATGGTTGTGAGGTTGATTAAGATGTAAATGTTATAAGGATGGTGATGCTTACTAATGTGCTTTATTATGAAACTGATATGAAATGTGTTAACCTCACTTGTATGAACTATAATGAAAGGATTGTACTCACATAATTCTTATTGATCTATGATGATGATGATTATACAAGGGCTAGACCCTATGACCTAAACTAAGTTATGATTGTTAATAAAGACTTAAAGACAATTCAAAAAGGGACCTTAGCTTAGCACTGAGTGATCTTGTATGTGAGGGGGTGACACTTTCCAAAATAGGGAAGGTAGGGCTCACTACGGTCCTCACGGGGTGGATAGCCTCATGAACCAATAGGGTGTAGAGTGACGTTTCCAAAACGACCCCAAGTTCATTAAACTATGTTGCCACCATAGGAATAATAGCTAGTGGATCCACCTAGATGCTATCTTTATGTTAGGTTTTACCTTGGCCTGTAGACCACCTTCAATCGTGTAAGGTTTTACAACATCGGATTTCACAGTTGGATCTTGTGGTCTATGTCGGTTAAGGCAAGTTTTCCCTAAACTAAAATGAATCAATTGAGTATAAACTAACTAGGGTGACTTGAGAGGTTTGACTTAGCTTAGGTTGAGGTATGGGACTCTG